GTGTCTCCCTTCCCTTCCTCCCCAGAGGCCCTCGTGCTTGCCTTTTCTTTCTTAAATCTTTTTCTTTTTGGAGAGGTTTTCGCTATAGGGCGCGTGCACTCGCCAGACAGAGACAGAGAGACAGAAAGCAAGAAATCACCCCCCAGGGGGGATGGCCACGCCGCAATCCCTTCTCCTCCATTCTCCTCTCGGGATCTTGGGCACGCACACACATGCGCTCGGCGTGAGTTTAAGCCACAGGGTCCGGGACGCGAACCGCGGTCAACTACATGGGAGTCCAGTGACACAGCCATTACGCTAACTGCTGGTCCCTTTCTTTCTTAAATCTTAAAAACGTGTTTGTTGTCTCCACAAGTGCCAGAGGCAGAGAGAGACAGAGATGCAGCACCCTAGCCGGATCCTCGTGCTGCAATCCATCCCGGCCTCGTCCAGCCCCGATGGCGTGGCCAGCATACACTGTCCGGCACACCCGTTCTCAGAGCACTCAGGGAGGTCCCTGGGCCTGAACCAGGGCCCTTCCCTCGTGGGACTGCCTTACAGAGCATCGTGCTTTACCATCACGCCAGGGTCTGGCCCCAGCGCCTGCTTGTCTGTCACCCCTTTCTGTTCAGTCCCACCAGGCTCCTCTTGGCTTTGCACCTGTCCCAGATAGAAGCCCGGACCCGGTCTGCCCCCTCCTCCGTCCTGCACACCACCGCCAAATTCATCGAGTTTACTCAAACCAAAGGATGGACACTGCTTTTCAAAGCCTTGGCGTGGCCTCCTCCTGCTTGCCGTGCCTGAACCCCTGCCTTGGTAATAAAGGCCTAGCCCGATCTGTTCCCAGCTGTCCCCTCAGCTGTCATTTCTCACGCCTACCTGAAAAGGAGCCTCGCCTACTCTGTTACCCAGGTGGCCCGCGATTCCCCAGATGTGTTCTGTTTCCAAGGTCGGAATCTGCGTAGAGACACAGAAGCCAGCTCGTCTGCCCCAGATCACGGCGCGGCGGAGCTGGCCTGGGCTGTGTCCGAAGCGCTGTTCTCTCTCTGTGAAGTCCCCTCCAGAGCTACCTGTGGAAAGCTCACCACCCTCCACGGCCGCCGGTTCCTAAAGCTCCCCTGGCCCTCCCTGTCTGTTTCCTTGCTGTTTCTATCTTCAGGGCTCAAATAATGCTTTGTTTACGTACTTCACAAGATGCGGTGACAACGGCGTCACAATGGCATCCCGAGGCTGAGACACTGTCTGTGGCCTTCCCAGTCCCCCCCAGCGGCAGCCAGCTCTACATTCTGCGGGCTCTCAGCGGAGACGTGGGGGAGGACGAGGTCCGTGGAGGCCGGTCCATCGTTCCCAGACCGGCACGTCGGGGCTCCCAACTCCCGGCACAGCAAGACCGTTTCCGGTCCTGCCCTATCAATTCCCTCCTGTCCGGGGCCATGAGACCTCTGCCCACTGCCTGGAAAACCTCACTGCGGCCTGACAAGGGCTGGGCCCTGTAACATTCGGGGAGATGCAAAGCGCGATCGATGGGAAACTAGAACAAAAGAGGTGATTTCCTTCTTCGGAACCTGCGGCGGAAACTGAAAAGCAGGGTGCCGCCAAGTTCTCCTTTCAGGCCTTCTCACCGCGATCCCTTGTCCGTGTGGACAGGGCCAGGGAAGCAGGGGTGAGCAACAGCCAGGAAGCAGCAAGGGGAACGGCAGGTCAGACACCTACTCTTTCTCAAGACACAAACAGCGTTCTAGAAAGGAAAATGCTCCCTGGTTTATAGGAAATTATTCAAGGAACATGAAACAGAAAAAAGGAAATCAGCCCAACACCAGCCTCCGCTGACTTTCCTCCTCGCCAGCTTCCCCTGGGCGGGTGGCTGGTTCGGAGGGCGCGCACTGCGCTGTTCTCACTGTGACCGACCAGGCGCAGACATGGAAGTCGCCCAACTGTTAAATTCTGCACTTGACTGCATCCCTGGGGAGTAAGTTAAATTTAACAACCTCGAGACGGTGAGGCGGCTGGGGGCCTACCTCTCGCTCACCTCCCGGTTCCCTTCCTCCTCTGGCTCTCATACAAGCTGTTCAATGCGGATCTCACTGTCCTGCAATGCCGAGGGGCCGGAGCGGAGGCCGAGTCCAACTCCCTAAACTCCAGCAAGGTCCAGGCAGGAGGGGCAGTGGGCGCTGCCACTCTGTCAAGGCTCCCTTTCTCACCCTGTGGTCAGAAAGCTGCTTCCCTCCTCTTCAGATCTCAGCCGGGTCTGAGAATTAAACTGGCACGGCTACAGGGCAAAGCCTACACACTGGCTTACGAGTGTTTTCTCATAAAGCAACGGAGAACCAAGGAGGCAGTCAGAACCAACCATCAAACGCCGGGCTGGACAAAGACTGGAGACTGAAAATGTGACTACATCACAGGGGAGGCCTACACGCTAGAGAATTCTTCTAGCAGGGCTGGACAGTATTCTCTTGGTCTTGGCCTCTTGTCCTGGGAGAAGGGTGTTGTCTTTCCTTCGACAAATGCTCCTTGACTTCCCCAGAATTATGGTTTCTATGGAGTAAGAGGAGGGGTAGGGCATGGCCACCTGCCCTGGGGGGAAATTCCTCACTTTCCCTCCCATGGCCTGTGTCTCTGGGGCAAACACACATGCCCTGTGGCAAAAACCTTAAAAAGAAAGAAACCAGATCAAAGTGATCTTGCTTGAAAACTTGCCATTTTACAAGTGCCTTTAATTTAAATAGTCAAAATATGCCAGAGGAGCACTGTTTAAACCTTTCATCTCCCTACAACACCTTTTGTTTGAAATAAATCATTATCAAAACTAGACATTTTATCAATATTACTTTGAGAGCCTGCCATGCACTGGACACTGTGCTAAGAGTGGGGCTGAGAAAAACAGGAAGGAAGGAAGGAAGGAAGGAAGGAAGGAAGGTAGGAAAGAAAGAAGGAAGGAAAGAAAGAAGGAAGGAAGGAAGGAAAAAAGAAAAGAGAGAAAGCATTGGCCCCTGCTCTTGAGAAGTCCACAGTTGGGACCAGCAGTAGCGTAATGGCTATGTGGCTGGACTCCCATGTAGCCGACCGTGGTTAGAGTCCCGGACCTGGTGGCTTAAACTCACACCGGGTGCGTGTGTGTGCATGCCCAAGATCCCGAGAGGAGAATGGAGGAGAAGGGATTGCAGTATGGCCATCCCCCCAGGGGGGTGATTTCTCGCTTTCTGTCTGTCTCTCTCTCTTTCTGGTGAGCGCACATGCCCTATAGCAAAAAACCTTTAAAAAAAAAAAGAAGAAAGAAAGGAAAGGAAAAGAGAAGTCCGCAGTCTAATGGAGAAGGCAGACATGGTTTGTATAACTACGGTGTTACGCAGGGGAAGCCCAAGATTCTTTGGAAATAAGAGTGTGAGAGCAGAACTGGGGGTTGGGGTTGGGGATATTTCCCGAAAGAGTTGATGTCAGAGCTGAGGGCCAAAGGATGTGTGGGGGCAGGCCTGGGGGTGGGAGAGGCGTCCCTGCAGGGAGGAGGGGAACCAAGCCCACAGCCAGGTCCAGCACCTTTCCTCCCCCCTCGAGACAGCGCAGGGCCCCACGTCCCCACATCCTCACGCATCTGCATTAATGCATATCACGGGGGGGGGGGTGAAGGAGAGACAGAGATTAGTGAAACATAATTTAAGTTCTGAACTTTGAAGAGGTGCATTTAAAAAACAATCTGGACTGCCACACGGTGTGGTGGTTAAAGCAGCCGGAGCCCACGTGGCCAATGGCAGAGTTTGATTCTGGACCCAACAGCTTGAAAAATACACCAGGCACACGTGCATGCTTGCCCAGAATCCCGAAAAAAGGGAGACTGGAAGAGAAGGATTCCTGTGTGGCCATCTGCCATGGGGAGGCTTTATCATTTTCTGTCTGTCTCTCACTCTCTGATGGGCACATAAGCCCTCTGGCAAATTATAAATATATATAGCCTTATCTGAAAAATATGGGTAAAGGGCAAGGGGGATTTTCTAATCTCTCCAGGTGGGACCAGACTCCAGGGGGCCTTTCAGTCACAAGGCTGGTGTTCACGTCTAAATCACAGGAGACAGATGGAAAGCAAGCCAAAGGCATATCCATGGCTCTTGGATACATTTTTTTAAAGAATTATTTTTATTTAACTTTATTTATTCATTTTTATTTATTCTAATTTGACCAGAGGGGGACAGAATGAACGAGAGAAAAAGCAGGCCGGCAGGTCCAGACCTCGAACTGTGGTCGGCCACGTGGGAGTCCGGCACCCTTAACCTCCAGCCCAGCTGCCGGCCCCAGCTCTTGTATAAATCCTTAACTACACTGGAGATAAGCACAGATGAGGTCATAAGCAATACAGACCCACAGAGGTTGAAAATCTGCCTCGCTGCAGAGGGACACAGCACCGTCCAAAAGTCAGGGCCTGTGGCAGCCCTGTCTGCACAGTGGGGTGACCCCAGGAGCGTGCTCCATCCCTGGGAGCTCTCACACGTCAGCCGAGGTGGCAGGAAGACGGGAGACCTGGGCTAGGAGGGGAGGAGGCAGCAGGTGCCAGGAAACATTGCACTCGTGGGCTCGGCTTATTCCTGGCCTTGCAGTTTTCCTGTTCCACCTGAGGTTCTCCGAAGGTCACGATTCTAAAATCTGCTTTGACTTTCTCATTTAGAGGAATAAGTAACTCCTGACATGACTTGAGCTCGCCGAGCAAGAGTTTTGTGTTCCAGACAACACAGCCCGGGGAGCCCAGAATAACCTAGGTGAGTGCCACGGGCCAGAGGAACGGCAGTGGCTGGGGGGG